GTCAGAGGCGATCTTCCAGATGGGCCTTTACAGGCCTCAGCCATGTAGCTATAGATGTTGGCTCCCAACAAGGGAGTATGTAACAAAAAGAGAAGAGATGTAACTCAGGGAGACACTTGAAGACCCTGTGCTAGAAACAGGCTGTAGGGTAAAGTAATCACTCCTAGAGAAGAAAATTTTTGAAACCATGTCATCTTTATGATCCTGGTCCATGTTTCTGGACTTGTTCATTGAGTTTCCCAGAAAGAATCCCAGAAGAATCCTTAATCCCCATCAATAATGCTGGGGAGCCGGGCTTGGTGGCTCAGCCTGTAATCCCAGCGCTTTGGGAGGCCGAGGTGAATGGATTGACTCGGCCCGCAGGTTCGAGACCCACCTGGGCAAATTTGCGAGACCTCATCCCTACGATAAAAAAAAAAAAAAAAATTAGCCGGATGTGGTAGCACGCGCCTGTAGTTCCAGCTACTTGGAAGGCTGAGGCGGAAGGATCGCCAGAACCCAGCAGGTCGAGGCTGCAGTGGCCGGGAGCAGCCACTGCACTCCAGTCTGGGTGACAGAGTGAGACTCCAATCAAAATAATAATAATAATAATAATAATGGGGAGATTCCATACATTCGCTTGTTCTAGTTTCTAGTTTATTTTAATTTTATCTTAAAATCAACTTGTTAAAATAAATTAGTGACCAAATCTAAGTTGCTCACATGGTTTTCTCCCTGGTAAACCCTAAGGGAGAAGAGACTCTGATGTAAGATGTTTCGAGGGTAGGTGTGGGAAAATGCTTCCTCCAACTGTCTTTTATTTTCAAATACCCCATTAAAAATTACTGTTTTTAAAAAAAAATTTCTGGGCTATGAATTTTGTGAGTGGGAATTCAATGTTGGCAGTCAGGTAGAGTGACACAAGAGAATAATTCACTTTCTAAGGCAACCAGAATTTGCACTGTTATTATGGCTAAAGTGCTAAGTTATGACTCATCCTTCCCTTCACTCACACGCTTGATGTACACAGGACTAAGGGTTATCAGAAGAAAAATGGAAATCTTGAACTTTGTCCATTCTTGGGTTCAGACTAGAGAAAATGGATAAACAATAGTAAGAGAAGGCAGGTCCTTGAAAGGAAAATTCACTATAAAACACAATGGAGCTTAGCAAGGTGATCCCAAATTAGCAGTGGAGTTAGAAGGAGTAGCGCGTCCAAATACAGCCTAGTACCTGCTAATCTGGTGATGTGTCAGTAATATGGAGAGAAAAATGGCAGAGGACAGGGACATTCTCCTCCTCCCTCTTCTGGGGACCTTACAGCTGTAATGCCAATATGAAAGGGAGTTGGCAGGAATCTGCATCTCAGTAGAGGCCATCATGCTACATTGCCAAAGACCAGGAATAGGGGGAACAGAGGCCAGTGGAAGCAGCATAGACTAACCCTTGCTCGCAGTTGTTAAGGCCAGCAGCTAAGGTTTAGCTTGTTGTGATAGAGAGATCAATGCCTGCTGGTAAAACTCAGCTTCCATAGTGGTAAAATCTAGAGTTAGAAGACGCCATGGTGACCTTGCAGTATGTCTCCAGAAATGATGGCAACAGTAGGTACCAGCCAAGACTGACTTTTTGGATGCATGTAAGACATTCTCAGAAATACTGGTTAGAGGAAGATATGATATCTTGCAAGGGACTGGTATTCCTATATGAACCAAGTTAGGGTCTAGAGTTGGCAAGATTTAGATATTAATTTTAATATGATCTAGTCTGTTCCAGGATTTGTGAAGTACAGGGACATTTAGAAACATTGGGATTTCAGAATAGAGGCAAAAATAACTAAAAAATTGTGGCATGTTTTTTCAGTTTTGTCAGATTCAGGATACTGTGAAAAGATTTTTTTTTAAATGGTAATAACCAGGAAAACATTAAGCCAGCTATTTGCACAAAGAAATATTAAACGGTGATAAAATGAATGGTTTATAGTAACATTCAACAATATGAGTGAATCTTAGAAATACAGCATTATGAAAACATCCTTAAAAAATTACTTGCAACATTACAACCTTTAACTTATAAACTTAAAACAACTAATATGAAAATATATATTTCAGGGTAATATATAGTTACGTTAATATGATAAAAATAGGAAAGCAAAGGAATGATGAGCATGAGGTTTAGGATATATTTACATCAGATGAAGTGAGGTAGAAAAGTGGAATGGGAGAGGGAGAGGCCTCATAGAAATGGCAGGTTATTGTTTTGGGGATCATGGGTGCTCATAAGAATAAAAAATGACTAACCAGAAATCTATCATGCATGGAAAATGACAAGACTATGTCATAAAGCAAAGATAACAGTTAACCCAAGTCTGTGCACATAAGGTCTCTTCAGTGGAGACAGAGAAGTCGCATATTAGACTAGATACTTTAATGAGAGAAATGTTGAGATAATTTTTCATCATAACTATGGTCAATTTGTTTAGAATATCATTCTATAAGTCCAAAAACCACTTTAGATAGAGTCATCTCAAAATCTTTTTCTATAACTTGTTTTGGTTGTTTCCAATTTAGTGGCAAGAACACAACATATGCACCAAAACATCAGCAGCGACACTGTCCGCTACACAAACACAGGAAACAAAATATTTACAGCAAATTGCTTATACAGAGAAAATACATCAAGAGCTCCAATCACACTTAGAACAAATGGTCATGACTGTGCCCTTGTGGTCCCAGCAGGACCACTTCTCCTTCCTCTATTCCACAACCCTAGGAGCCAAGGGTTGCCTGCCCTGTCACGTGTTTTCATTGTGAAAAAAATGCAGTGCTTTCTCAGAGGCTGCACCCTCTGCTCTGAGAGAGAACCCAGACTCAAGCACAGAGGAGATTGGTAGACCTTTTGCACAGTTTCCCATTCCCGGCAGCCCAGTCATGGAGTGGGGGGGGGGGGTAGAGTCTGGAGATAGAGAGGAAGTGTGGTTGGTTGGAGAGAACAGGAAGAATGGCATTGGCTGCTCCCAGAGGTCCCTGCAGGCCACTCTGGGTAAGAGACTAGTGGACTGAGGTCAAGGATGCACATGGGATATTCTCATAGTTTTCTGCGGCATCTTCGTGGGCCCTGTTTCTGCTGCTGGCCTGCCCGACAGAGTCATCTCGGTGTGCCTTCTTCAGCTCTGAATACAAGACTGAGAGTTCCTGGTAAACAAACCACAAACAATAAATATCTAAATGCAGGTGAAGAAGGACGGAGAGGAAAGAAAGCCAGGATATGTGACTCACCTTATCCTCCCGATGCATCCTTGGTGAATTTGCTGTTGGAGGAGAATGGCAAAGAAAAAGATTAAACTGTGGGCAATATATTCCAACTTGCAACCTGCTCGCAATGCATTCCGAGCCAATTTGCATCTCTCCTACTCATCTCTCAACTGTGTTCTCTGCTGAATTATTTCAAGTACTCACAGAAAAAGTAGCCCCCCACACACACATGCATGCACATACTAATAAAGCCTTTCCTCTGCCCACCTAATGCTCAGAATGACTTTCAAGATGATTTCCTTTTTGCTTCTCTGTTCATCACGACATTAGAAGAGTACCTGCCCCACAACCCACCATTGAAAAGAATGCAGTGCTTTCTCAAAAGCTGCACCCTCTGATCCTAGAGCATACACAGACTCAAGCACGAGGAGGTTGGTAGACCTTTTGACTGTATTGATCCTCTGGGAGAAGGTCATAGATATGACTCATTTCACTTTGCACAGGGAAACTGGGAAAGGTCAGAGGGGGATCAGCACTCTAAGGCCAGAGGGTAATTTTCCAGGAAGACAAAGATTTGCATTGGAGCATTAAGAAATTTTAGTTCATGTGTTTTGTTTTGTTTTGTTTTATCTTCTCAAGAGGTTCTTTGTGTCTCTTTCATTAATATATTCACCCAATAAACAGTCCTTGAATAATGGCCTTCTATTAGGCATCAGGTAAGCTATAAGGAGACAGAAATGAAAAAACTTGGGCCATATAATCAAGTAGTCTATAATTTTGAAGGGGAGGAACGGACAGGGAAATAAATGCAGCAAGTGTTATGGTCCCCAGGACCCCAAGACGGAAATACACATTGTGCATGGTCACAAAGGACAATCAACTCCTCCCAACTTAGGACATGGAGGAGGGATGGGACTCACTGTGGTATCTGAAGCTGTGTCTTGAAATGTGAGCTGGGATTACCACGTGAACTAGAGGCAAGACCATTTCAGGACCAGTAGGAAGCATGAGTACTGAAGCATGAAAATGCCAAGAGTTCAGTATGACTAGAGAAAGAACAAGAAGCAGAGTTCACAGAAGGTACCAGAGTACAGGGGAAGATAAGGATTGTGCTTTGCAATGGAGAGTGCCTGAGGGCAGTTAGTCTAGACAACTATGTGATCAGTTGAGCACCTCAAAGATGTCATGCCGGAAACAGATTTTTGGAAGGCTGGAGAAGAACAAAACTAAAAATAAGAAGTCCAGTTAAAAGAATTACAATTGCCCTATACATTTGATTGTTTATTCATTCATTCATTCATTCAAAAAATATTTTAGGAGGCCTACAGTTGTCCAAGCATTGAGCAAGATGCTGTGGATACATTAGTGAAAAAGTCACAGGATCTGCCCTCTAAGAGTTTATGGCATAATAGTGGCAGCATGGAAAGGTAAGAGGGAAAGAACTGGTGATATGATTAACAATACAGGAGGAAGGTAATTTCTTTCATATTGAACTTTTATTTGAGATGTCTCTGATAAAAGGCTCCGTACTGTATCTGATAATACACTGCCACCTCGCCTCTATTTTTCTTAAAGGTATCTCACCCAAATTTTCTTTCGTAGGCTGCGTGATCCAGATCTGGGAATAAACCGAGTTGCTATCTCCAGGATTTACTATGAGGGAAAAGAAGATATCATTGTTGACTGTAGTTAACAGTCCACATTCTAGACTTGTCTTCCCAGTCACCAAACTCATAATGACCTTCTATCTCCAATGTAATGACAGGAGTGTCATTTTTAAATTAGGGACAGGGTCAAGGGCTGTTGTGCAATCCCTCCTCATTCCCTGGCTCCTCCATGGAGCCCTCTAGCCCCTAGGGAGTCCTCACCATTGCTGTACACTGGCTGCAGCTCCATTTGGGCTACTGGCTCAGAGTGGGTGGAGTCCTGAGGGTCTATACTGGAAGGTCTGGACAAAGAAAGATTCGGATACTTACTGTGACAGAAGAAAAACAGAAAATTGATTAAAAGTTTTCAGGGGTTACACAGAGTCTCAGGAAAATTCGTAACCAGAAAGGCACAGAGGCCAGCATGATTCATGTAAAAATATTATGTTCTCACTTACTAGTGAGAACAAAATAAGGCTTACACATGGACACAGAGAGTGGAATAGCAGACATTAGAGACTCAGAAAAGTGTCAGGGAGTGAGGGATGAGAAATTACTTAATGGATACAAAGTATAGTTTTCGAGTGATGCCTGCACTAAAAACCCAGACTTCACCACTACATAAGCATGTAAAGAAGCAGCACTTATATTCCCAAAATCTATATTCCCACGATATATATATATTGTGTCTGCTTCTGCATGACTCTTTCAAAAAAATACATCAGGAGGATGGTGGCACAAGGTGGAGCCCAGGGAAATTTTACACACAGGCCAGAGGGCAAAAGTCACATAGTCTCAAGACTCCTTTACTTGGACCAAAACTCATATTTGATCAATTTAAAAAATTATTTTCAAACATGTAAATGCTTAAACATTGATGCACAAAGACTTCTGCATTCTCATAGAACTGGAATTTTTGTCTTTTTTTATTTTTAAGTTGGGTCTCTATCACCCAGGCTAAAGTACTGTGGCATGATCATGGCTCACAGCAGCTTCAACCTCCTGTACCCGGGCAATCCTTCCAACCACCCCCTAGCCTCCTGAGTAGCTGGGACTACAGGCATGCCACCACACTCAGCTAAGTTTTACTTTTATAATTTCTTTTGGAGAGACAAGGTCTTGCTGTCTTGCCTAGGCTGGTCTCAAACTCCTGGGCTCAAACAATTTTCTCACCTCGGCCTACCAAAATGCTGGGATTACAAGCATGAGCCACCATACTGGCCTAGAAATTTGTCTTTTTTAAAAAGGCCTCTCAATTTTCTAGTATAATTACAATAATCTACCTTTCCTGTAAAATGCTATGAAGGATTTTCAGGAAAACTGATTTTTTTTTCCAGTTTTATTTTCCTCTGCTGTTAATATTGTAAACTGAACATCGCTAGCATTCAATAATTATTTCCTGAACAAGTGTATGAATGAAGGAATGAGGAAGAAAGCAACGAATATATTGCAGCCTTATGAAAGATAACGTCACTAAGACATCAGTTGTCAATTCTCTACTGGAACACCTAAGGAAATAGATAATTAATATCGATAGCAAAGAACATGCACTTTGTGTATAAGTGACATAGGTGAATACTATTCACAAATATGAGAGAAAGTAACTTTTTGATTGCAGTTTTTGCACTTTGATAGAATGTGAAATGTTAAGAGAAAGTTCATTCAAATTTTTAAAAGATGTACATAATTACTCCATGCTCCTATCTTGTGGGTATAAGTAGATCATGAAAATGTTTTCTGGGTGCGGTGGCTCAAACCTGTAATCCCAGCACTTTGGGAGACCACGGTGAGAGGACTGCCTGAGCTTGCGGGTTTGAGGCCAGCCTGGGCAACATGGTGTGACCTCATCTCTACAATAAAAATCAAAAAATTAGCCAGGCATAGTAGCGCACGCCTGTAGTTCCAGTTACTTGGAAGGTTGAGGTGGAAGGATCACTGGAGCCCAGCTAAGGTGGAAGGATCGCCAGAGCCCAGCAGGTCGTTGCTGGGGTGGCAGTGAGTGTGCCACTGCACTCCAGCCTGGGCGATAGAGTGAGACTCCAGCTCAAAAAAAAATGTTGGCAGCACAAGAAGCAGAGACCTCACCTAAATGTTCCAGCGGCAGAAAGTCCTCCTGCAAAACAAACAAAGGAGCCATGATGGTAAGTGAGGTGTGTAGACGGTGTGCTGTACATTAGGACATTCTTTTCTAGAAATCAGATTATTTCTAGATCTCAGTTATGGCAAATCTTAGGAATCATCTAGCCCAAGGTGAGGAAGATCGAGTCTAAAAAGACATTTGCCCAGAATCATACTTATTCTGAATCATTTTAAAATCAGAAGTAGCCAGGTAATAGCAAATCTGTAAGTAGAAGAATTGAGACAAGTCAAGGTTTAACTCTGGGTCATGTGCTTTTCCCACATGAACTCCTTTATCCTGACTGCAGCCCTATAAGAGTAGAGACAGGGACACTGAGTCCAAGAGAGACCAAGAGGGGCTCAAGGTTGATACAGAATTCCTACACAAATATAAATCTGAAACTACCATAGCAAGCTCTAGCCTTCCTTTCTCTAACAGTAACCACTGCACATCTAGCCTAGCAACACTGAACTGCATATCATTTGCATATATAATGACTTTTCCATTTCTCTTCTCCTTCTCTTTCACCTGGCTAATTTCAATTTATCTTTCCTTCTCCAGAGTGAACCCTGATGCCAACACGCTGCATTAAATGACCTATCTCCATGCACATAAAACTATGTAATATTAAAATTACTACATTGTTTTGCAATTATGCATTTCTACATTTGTCTCTAATTCTCTCCTTCATGAAAGGACATGCTACTTGGGGCTGAAAACCTTGTCTTAATTTTTTTTTTTTTTTTGTATTCCAGTGCCATGCCTAGCTGTTGAAAATATTCAACAAAGATTCGTTAAATGACTGAATAGAGTATGTACTTTGAGGATAAAAAAAATGGCAGAGTGACAATTTTATTTTATTTTTTTAATCTTTATTTATTTATTTTTTGAGTTGGAGTTTCACTCTGTTGCCCACACTGGAGTGCAGTGGCTTGCTCCCTGCCCCCTCAGCCTCGACCTGCTGGGCTCCGGTGATCCTTCCACCTCAGCCTTCCAAGTAGCCGGAACTACAGGCGAGCACTACCATGCCCGGCTAGTTTTTGATTTACTATAGAGACGAGGTCTCACCAAGTTTCCCAGGTGGGTCTCGGACCCATGGGCTCAGGCAATCCAGTCACCTTGGCCTCCCAAAGTGCTGGGATTACAGGTTGAGCCACCAAGCCCAGCCGACAATTTTATAATAGATGATTGCATATTAAGTCTAATCAAGAAGCCTACTCTTATAAGCTTTTAAAAATATAGCAGTTTTCAGTCAGGCTGAGTGGCTAATGACTATAATCCCTGCACTTTGGGAAGCAGAAGCAAGAGGATTCTTTGAGACCAGGACTTGTCGCGACAATAAATTAAAAAATTAGCTGGACATGGTGGCACGTGCCTGTAGTTCCAGCTACTTGGAAAACTGAGGTAGAAGGATCACCTGAGCCCAACAGGTTGAGCTGCACAGTCGCTGTGATCGTGCCACTGTACTTCAGCCTCAGCAAAAGAGTGAGACTCCCCAACTCAAGAACAAAAGGACAGTTTTCCATCATCACTGAAATACAGAACTCTTTCTGGCTCGCCTCAGAATACAGAACTCTTTCTGGCTCTCACGCTTTTAAAAAATATCTGTGACTGTGCGTCTGTTTCACTAGCTTAGAAACTCAAGTCATTGCTCAAAATAAATACAAGAGCCTTGACTGTCATGAAAAATAACTTAATGATGCCTACAAGCTCTGTCCTTGGAAACCTGACCTCTTGAATTAAACTGGAGGGGCATGACCATGATTTGATCTTGTCTCTCCTCAGAGAAATCATAATCTATATCAACAACCAATACATTCCCTTAAGGTGGTTAGCATCTGAGAGTTCTTTATAGAAGATAAAACTGAAAACTAGAGAAGTGGTTATGTATAATACAAACTAATATTCCCTGAAGACATTTGAGCCAGCACTGTGCTAAGTAGTTTATCTACATTGTCTCATAGCCCCTAAAAGGTAGATACAATTATTATAACGAAAACCTAGATGAAGAAACAGGTTTAAAGAGTTTAATTTACTTGCCTAATACCAAGTTGATGGCGACTTACATTACTGGAATTTCAACCCAACCAGTTTGACTGTATAGTCAACAATGTATCTATCACTCCTTTTGATAGCTAGTAGAATTCATTCAGGCAAGAGGCAGAGCTCTTCACTTTTAGAAAAACTAGGAAGGTCTGAACTTTCTGAGAAGTCTGGTCAATGATGAGAAGAGAGGTTTGCTGTGAGGCAAGATTTTGAGAGGAGAAAGGCAGAGACCTCTGCAAAGTGTTCACTGTCATAATTCCTTAGTGAGTTTGTTATTTAAAACAACACTCCCCTAAATCTGAAGGACAGAACCACCTGGGCTTCTATTCCCATGGATCACATAAAATGGTCAGTCTTCTTTCCTTTCCTGATGTTGTATTGACTGAGATGGTTGTTTTTTGAACATTATAAACTTTAACACAGATTCTAATGTCCTCTTCTAGCATATTATGGATTTTTTAAAAAAATGACTTCCCAGACAAACAATGAGAAAAGCAAAAGAAAAGAAATTTTGAAAGTAGGAGGTGTGACCTGTCTTCTCCAAGTCATCCAGGTATAGCAAGAAATAAATGTCAGCCGGGCTTGGTGGCTCAGCCTGAAATCCCGCGCCTTTGGGAGGCTGAGGTGAGTGGATTGCCTCAGCTCGTGGGCTCAAGACCCGTCTGGGCAGAGAGACCTCATCTCTACAATAAATAAAAAAAAAAAACCAGCCGGGCGTGGTAGCACATGCCTGTAATTCCGGCTACTCAGAAGGCTGAGGCAGAAGGATCGCTGGAGACCAGCAGGTCGAGGCTGTGGTGACCAGGAGCAGCCACTGCACTCCAGTCTGGGCGACAGAGTGAGACTCCAACTCAAAAACAAAAAAAAGAAGAAATAAATGTCAAAAGGATAAAGTGCTTAATTAACCAAAAACATAACAATTCTAAACATTTATGTGCCTGAAAATAAGCACCAAATTCTCAAAGCAAAACTTGATAGAATTGCAAGAAGAAATGGACAAATCCACAATTATGGTTGAAGATGTTAATCCCTGTATCTCAATAACTTATAAATCCAGAAAACAAAAAAATCAATAAAGACATAGATGAATTGAGACACACTGCCAATCAAGTTCACCAGCAAACACCCATACTGTGAAAAATGTTAACAGAAGTCCTTCAGGCAGAACAAAAATGATACTGGTGGAAATATAAATACATGAAAAGAAGTGAAGAACACTGGAAGTGGCAACCCAGTGGGTATTACTTTGAGACCAAGTCATAAAACACATGACAAGAAGAGAAAACTACCAATCAATATCCTGCATAAACATAGACATAAACATCCTGCACAAAATTTTAGCATATCAAATCCAACAATCATGACCAAGTTGACACCAGTTATGCAGGTTTGCTTCATCATTCAAATTTCACCTTATCAATGGAGTAAAAAAAATCATAGGATTATCTCCATCAATGTAGAAAAACCACTTGACAAACTTATATCTGTAAAAACTCTCAGCAAATTAGGACTAGTAGGGACTTCCTCCCCCTAGATAAAAAAAAAAAAACATCTGCAAAAAACTCGCAACTAAAGTAACCCTTAATGGCAAGGGACTGAATACATTCCCCTAAGATCAGAAACATGAAAATACATCTGCACTTACCACTTATACTTAGCACTGTACAGGAGGTTCTAGCCATTGTAATCAAGTAAAAACAAGAAATAAAAGGAATTTAGACTAGAAAGGAATGAGTAACACTGTTTTAATTCAATGACATGATCATTTGTATAGAAAAGGTGATGGAATCTACAAAATGAATACTAGAACTAATAAGTGAGTTGAGCAAATTTTCAGGGTATAAAATTAGTATAAAAGTCGATTGTATTTCTATATACTAGCAACAATCAGAAATCAAAATTCCATCCTCTGCATTCTTTATTTATTTTACCCAAACTTCACTATATTTAACTAGTATTCAAGTATATCTCAGAGTTTATGGTTGCACCTATGGTGATTACTTCTTTTGTTACAAATGGGGGACTGTCTTTTTCATACTTTTTGTATTCTATAGGCTTTGAAATGAAGGTGGAACAGTAAATATTTAACATTCTAAGTATCAATTGAAAGCAAAACTCTGCTACCTGATAGAAGCTTCAAATTAAACATATGAAGTAAAAATTTCATCAAGAAGTTTGGTCTACCTTTTCTGTTACCATTTCCTACAGTGTGACAGTGGTGGCAGAATTGAGGGCCTAATATTTGGAAGGAAATCATTGATCTTTATGGGATGCACCACACAAAATTATTATAGCGATGGCCAAACCACGGCACCAAAGGTTTGGAAATAGACACCTACCTAGTTTCCTTTGGGTCCGAACGTGACCCAGCACAGCAGCGGCAGCAACAAGACCAAGGATGCAGAGCAGTCCCCCGATGACTCCAGCAGTGATAAGGCCTACTCTGTTCCCAGAAGTCTCTGCGTGGGAGAGTAAAAGCTGAGTTCCAATGGCAAAGTCTTTGGGTATAGACAAAACTCAAGCAGTTGGGGTAGGTATTTGCCAGCTTCTGGTTTCTCCATTTGAATTATCTCTGGTATCATTTTCAGTAATTTTCAGAACAATAGCACATGTAGGGTGGTTTGCCAGTATCTAAGATGAAAATTTATTTCCTTTCCCTCTCCCTTATGATATCAGTACCAATCTCCAGAAGCCCCAAGCCCTGGTGTATATTTGACACTGGTAGAGTTTGGGCAATCTATTGGAGGGGTGTCTTATGGACCAGAGCTGTGACCTCTAGCCCAAATACCACTAACCCACCTGTAACATTGAGTGTCACCAGCTCACTGCGCTGGGCCCTCAGGCCATTGTTGGCCTCACAGGAGTAGTTTCCAGAATGTTCTGTGGTCAGAGAGAGGTTGAAGGACACTCCTCCTCCAGTGAGGGATGAGCTGTTCCCCAAGTTGACATCCTCATGATAAAACCGGTACAGGATTGGTGGAGAGCCTTTTGGGGACTCACAGTAAAACTCCACCATATCCCCTGCCACAGTCTGGTCCCCAGGAACCCTGAGGGTGAGGATGGGGCGAGACACTGGAACTACGGAAGAAAAATAGTTCAAGAGCAGTTATGCTTAAATCTGTATACAAGAGAGCTTAATAAAGGAATATGCAGCACACTTTAGCTGTAGGAACACGGACTTGAATTCAGGGAAACCCATGCTTGAATCCTGTTTATGTTCTTTATTAACTATAATCTTGATTTTTAAAACTTTTTAATTTCTCTAAGTCTTGGTTTATTCCTCTGTAAAATGGAGCTAGTGATAAATTATATCTCAGCTATACGTAAAGTGCTGAAAAAATATTGACTATTATTAGTGATATAAATAATATCTTATGATTGTTTGTCTGATTCCCCCAATAGAATATATGCGTCACAAGAATGGAGACTAATTTGTCTGTTCATTGCTGTACTGCCAGCTGCTGGAACATTGCCCTACATGTAAAATTGCTCAATAATTGGTTACTGAATGGATGATGGAGTTGAACCAAATTGACAGAAAAATATTCAGATATAGCACTAGCAGCAATGATTTCCATTTTATGGATGATTATAAAAACAGAACAGTGGGGAAGAACGGAAAACCATCATTATGGAATGTAGATTGTGCTATTGCTGGTTCTGTTAAGTGGTGAGAAAACCTGGGAGAGCCAACTTGTGTTCAAGGCTTTAGATACAAGTTGTGACCTTTGTTGACAAAGGAGGTCTGGTCAGGATCTTAAGCTCTGCTCTGCATCAAATGTTGGCTAAAGGGAGTGAGTGTGAATGTGGCAATTATTCACTGAATGGCAATAATTAAGCCTAAAAATAAACCATCTGCTGGTTGTAAGGAAGATGGCACCTGCGGCCTCAACAAGACAGAGATGCCAAGTTCTGGTACTGGGACTGTAGAGTTCCTGCTAAGTTGAAACCGATGGGGTGATCTGGACAGGATGCAGCAGGCCTCTGGGGTGAGACTTTGTATGATGCTTTGTTATCTCAGTGGACTTTCCACCAAGCATCTCTGGGTATCTATATTTTGGGAACAGAGACTCCCAACTTTTTCCATTACATGCCTTCCTCCAGGACTTACAGAAAACTCTTGTTCCATATGCACATTCCCCTAAAATCAAAGAATTCTAGGGTCACAAAACCCCATGATTACCATCAAGTTCAGTGGTCTCCAAGATGGGGTGCTAGACATCCCATTGAGGTGTGAGAAGAAACTATGAGAATGTTTAAAGGTATTTAGTTTTGAGTTTGATGCTTAGAAACCTATTCATGTGTACTAGCATTCATGGTTGTGCTCTTGCTGAAGCATACTTCACACTGCATGTTGGGACAGGACAAGAGTTCCTGTGAAGATAGGGTCACACCAGCATGGAAAGCTGAAAGTAGTACCCTTTCTTGTTTGTTCACTCTCAGCATATGAAATATATTGCCCTTTTAGTTGGCTACTTGAGTGTTTGGACAGATTATTTTAATGTAAATAATAAAAGCTTTATAATGCTTTGTAATTAGATTAGAGGAATAACAACAAAGCTCTTTGTATCACACAGAAGTTGTTCGGTTACTTTGTGGCATAGTTCTAAAAAGAGGTGTTAAACTTAAAGATGAGCCATGTGTTTTTGGTGAAGAAAGACTAGTATTTAACTTTGTTGACTTGTGGTGGTCAGTGGCTATCAACAGTGTAATACTCAGCAGATACATTTAAAAGTCTTATGTTCTACAGACTAAGTTGCCTGGGCATTAGCAGAGACTTTTTCAGAGTGACCTTTATGAGAAGGGAGAAAGATGGTGGAGGAGACAAACTATGTGAGTCTCAGTGTCAGTGAGTGAGTGTGTGGAAAATTTTGTGTACATGTCTGTGAGTAAGTGGTCATAAGAGTGACTGACTGAGTGGGGACTTGGAAGCAAGTGGCCAAGGCTCTCCTGGTGAAACAGCTGGTGCTACAGCTGCTCTGCTTGGACCCTAGCACTTCCCGGGGCACAGAAGCTGAGTGCCACTTTTTAAAAATCAGCAAAGCCCTTCCTGAGAAGAAGCTGCTGGGAAAGACTGATTGCTGGTTCCAGGTTCTGCCTCACCACAATAGTGCCTGGCCAGACACGGGCAGCAAGGGCTGTGAAGAGAGTACAGCAAGGGACCCCAGAGACAGAGCCCCACTGGAGAAGATGAAACAGGCATCCTGCCACTATCTTATAAACTAGGCAGGAAAGTGCTTTGGTTTGCTCACCACAGAGCGACAGACTTGATCTCTGTGACTGGTGGATTAACTACTCAGGGGTTGATTGTGACCTAGAGGGGATATCCTGAAAGTAACAACTCCAGAGGGACAGGACAAGTGCTGAGTCTCAAGTACTCCACCCCTACACTGGTTCAGCCATGGGACAAAGGGTTTGACCAGAAAAGGATGAAGAAAACCCTTAAGAGGTCAGCCAGTAAGTCAGGGTCTGACTCAACCCACTCCTTCCCAGCAAGCCTCTGAATGTCAGACATACAAGTATGGGGCACAAGTGAGAGGGACAAATCAAAGTGGAGCCTGAACGTCAGCTGTGATAGGAGGACTCTATAGGCTGGGGCAATCCCCACCAGTACCTGGGAAAGAGACAATCCTGCACCTCCCTACCAGAGGGGATCTCCATCACCATATGAAAGTGGAAGGAGAGGACTGAAGCCCCATCCACCCCACCACTTCCTCCTCCTTCCCCACACCAGACACTGAGGAGATAGTGAATGAGGCTGCAGGAAATTGCAGGAGATTGCAGAGGGGTTTACCTATGAGCAGCTGAGAGGAACAATTACAGAACCTGCCACAAGAAGGTAGGTTGCCTTTTACTTGTTTGTTTTTTCTTTTTCTTTTTTTTTACACATGAATGTGTATGTGAGGGTTCAATCTGCATTCCCCCATCTTTATTTTTCTTTTTCCCTTTTCTTTCTTTTTTTCTGTTTATGTATGTACATGAACGGTTGTGTGTTCATCTTTCAGTATTTGTTTGTTTTCTGGGTTTTTTTTGTTCTTCTCTTTTTTAGTTGAATGTGTGTGTGAACGTATGTGTGAGAGTTTGATTTGAATTCCTTTTTTTCTCTCTTTTCTTTCTTTCTTCTCATTTCATTAAGTGTTGTGTGTGTGTGTGTGTTCAATTTTCCTAATATTTTTGTTTGTTTGTTTTTCTTTTTTTCTTTTTTTCTAGTTTGTTTTAGGGGGTGTGTGTGTGTGTGTGTGTGTGTGTGTTTTGCTTTGGCTTTTGCTTTTGTCTTTCTGTGTTTTTTCTTATTTTTTATTGCTTTTTATGTTTGTCCATCTTAGTTCTCTGTTCTCCTCATTGCTATCACTGTATCTTGGACTCAGAGAGTACACACATGTATCCATGGCATTGTCATATAGAGTGGTGGGAGGGAGTGGGTCTCAGGGAATCCATACCACAATAAGTAAACATTGTGATTTGCAAGTAGTTTCTGAATCCTAGTTCTAATCTTTCACTTTATTCAACTCTCAAAACTACAAGAGACAACAAAGCTTCCACCCACAGCCCTGTTTCAAAATAGAACAAATTCAAAGCCCTGGTCAGGGAAGATTAGAGGACTGAGCAAACATCAGAAGTGAGAGCCTCTACTACTCCACTGAATAATGGAACTAAAGAGAAAAGAAAGAGATCGGCTACAAATGAGGAAAAATCAACAGAAGAATGCAGGTAATTCCCAGTGTAACAAAGAAGAAATGTCTGAAAAATCAGACCTTAGAGCTCAAACAAGGGAAATCACCAACAACTGGCCCCAGAATACAACAGGGATTAGGGAATGAATGGAAAGAGTGAATAAGACCCAGGAAAGACAAGATACAACACTGAAAGAACTTGTAACAGAGATTTTGGCCATAAAAGACTTCATCTGGGAAACAAATAAGAAAATGAAAAGCATGGAAAGCAGAATTCATCTAGCTGAAGAAAGAATCTTAGAACTTGAAGACCAAAATAAGAATTAGCCTGAACTGTAAAAAACATAGAAAGAAAACTCAGAAAGAACAAAGCCTATAAGAAATGTAGGATTATATCAAGAGGCCAAACCTATGCCTGACTGGCAACCAACTTGAAGAAAGGGAAATGAAGGACACCTTGGAACAAGTATTCCAGGAGGTTATCCAAGAAAAGTTTCCCCATCTCACCATAAATATGACTATCCAAACACAAGAGATACAGAGAATCCCCACAAGACATCAAATGAAAAGACTCATCCTTAGACACATAGTAATGTACCTACACAAAGTAGGCACAAAATAAAAAATCCTAAAAGCAGCAAGAGAGAAAGGTTAGACTACCAACCAGGGAAAACCAATCAGAATAGCAGCAGAGCTACTGGCAGAAACACTACAAGCTAGAAGGGACTGGAGTCCAATATTCAAAGTCCTCAAAGATAAACAATTTAAACCAAGAATTTTCTACCCAGCCAAGCTCAGATTCATCAGCAATAGAGAATTAAAATTATCCCCAGACATCCAATCCCTAAGAGATTATGCAGCTTCCAGACCAGAACTACAGTAGTCTCTAAAAATGGTATTAAACACAGAAGAAAGAAAGAAAAAAGAATGTCCACACACTGCCCAAGAGAACAGCAGAACACAGAATCAACAGAGAATACATCACAATGGTAAACTTGAAAAAACACACACATCAACCCAAAAGCTAAAAGAAAACAATGCAAGAAAGAAAAAACTTTATAAGAACCTCTTGATGGGGATAAACAATCAACCTTCAATAATCAGCAAGAATGTGACTGGGTTACATGCACCAATGAAAAGACACAGAAGGGCAAACTGGATTTAAAAACCATGAACTAATTATATGCTGCATCCAGAAAACTCATCTCACAACAAGGGATGCACATAGATTCAAAGTTAGAGGTTAGAAAGTGAGTTTCTAGGTAAATGGATCACAAAAGAAAGCAGGAGCCATGATCTTAAATCAGAAAACAATCTTTAAGCTATCAAAAATTTTAAAAGATACAGAAGAACACTACATGATAAAAGGTTCAATCAATCAACAAGAAATATCCATCCTAAACA